CTGATCTAACAGCCAATTCTGCTTGAAAATGTGTCTCCCAGCTGTGATCCAGCATTCATCAGGGACCCAAGAAATCTGTAAGCACAGAATAGTTGAACCGGAAGAGACCTTAGAATTTGCTTTACCCCACTCCTTGATTTTACTCCAAAGGGTATGCACAAGCGGAATGAGAGAATCCTGCCTGGAGCACATGGTTGGTTAAGACAGAGACAGACCAGGAGCCCAGGCCCTCTCCCTCCCAGGCCAGTGTGCTCCTCTCTCAGCTCTTTGCTGATAGAGAGAGATCAGGAAGCCCATTAAAAACATACTCCATTAGCAAACCCAGGAAATCTCATCAGTTCTGGAAAGCAGGGGCCTTCGAGCACAGCCCTGGAGAGAATGAGTACTCACTACTTTGTTAGCACCGTCATAACATCTAATTTTTAAACTACATAGTTTTTCTCTATTAGAACCCTGCAAAGACAGGTCAAGCCTTGCTGAAATTACCTCAGGCTTTGCACAGTCTCTTATCCCAGGGGAAGAAAAAGAAAGAAAACTGACATTGGCTTAGGACCTACTGTACACCCAGTGTTTTTGCCTCATTTAGTCTTCGCAGTAAATCTGCGAGGCAGGTCATATTTTTCCCCTTCTCTTTTTTTAGATGAGTAAATAAAAGCTCAGAGAAGTTAGGTGACTCGCCCCCAGTCACACAGCAAGTAAGTGGCTGAGCTGAGTTTCAAAAATAAGTCATCTGATGCCTCCTTTGAGGCCCTTCCTACTAGCTCAAAGATCCTAAAGAAACATGGAATCTAAAGCTTTTTTCTTCGGAAGAAGGTGAGCTTAGTAGGAAGAGCTTTGGGTTTGCTAGTCAGGAGACCTAGACTGTGGCTTTCCACAGGTAGACCCCTGGTTGTCTAGTTAAGCACATTGCTGTCATTAGCAATTGTTCAATTAACATTTGTTGGATAAAATAATTATATATCTGACAAATGACTCATATGTGGGACACACACACACACACACACACACACACACCTGAAACTCAATAATAAGGAGATAAACAATTCTCCTTTTTAAAAGTACACAAAAGATTTTAACAGACAGTTCACCAAAAGCCAATGCAAATGGCCCATGGAAAAAGTTGTCAACATCAGCCAACCACCAGAGAAATGCAAATTGAAATGATGGTGAACTACCGTTATACACTTACCAATTCAAAAATGTAAAAGGCTGACAACAGAAAGTACTGATGAGTATGTGGAACAACCGAAATTCTACACTGTTCACGAGAAGACAAAATGATACCGCCACTTTGGAAAAAAGTCTGCAAGTTGCTTATAAAGCCAAATATACATCAGCCTTATGACTCGATGATTCCATTCCTGGGTATTTACCCAAGAGAAATGAAAACACACCTCCTCAGAAAGACTTGTACAAAAATGTTCTTAGCACTGTTTTTTTTAATCACCCAAAACTGGAAACAACCCAAATATTTATTAACAGTAGGATGGATGACCAAATTGTAACACATACATACAAGGGATACTATTCTACAAGAAAAAGGAAGGAACTCTTGATACATGCAATATGAATTAATCTCTAAAACATTAGGTTGAGTTAAAGAAGCATTGCTCAAAAAGGAATATAATAAATCATTCCATTTATATGAAGTTCTAGGATAAGCAAATTTAACTTATGGTGCAGAAAATCAGAACAGTGGTTGCCTGAAAGCTGAAGGCAGGAATTAACTGAGAAGGGACACAAAGGAGCTTTCTGGAGTGACGGCATGTTTGGTATCTTGATAAGGATCTGGGCTTCACAGCAGTATGCTTTTACCAATGATACGATATGCACGCCGAAGTGTTTAGGGCCGAATTGCATGGATGTCCTAACTTACTTTGAAGAACACCGAAAATTAGATGGATTCATAGATAAATAAGGGTTGCATTGATGGGCAGATACACGATAAAGCAAAGAAAACAAAATGCAAATTGTAGAATCCAAGTGGTAGGTATATGAGCATTCACAGTGCAACTTTTCTGTATTTTAAAATTTTTATAGACAATTTTGGGCAGAAAAAAATGAATAAAACTTGGATTCCACAGTTGGCTTGGCACACATGCCCTCCAAGGACCCAATGTGGACTCTCCTGCCCACCTCTGCAGCCTCATTTCTCACCAGCCCACACCTGGCGCTCCATATTCCGGCCACAAGGACGTGCCTCACTTCCTCAAACCCACCATGTATGTACCACCTCAGGCCACAGGATCTTTGCACAGCCTATCTCATGTGGGAGGCTCTCCCTTCCTTTTTCTCCCAGATAATGCTTCAGACTTCAGACTTTGGTTCAAATAGTCTTTCTCTGGGTACCTTCTCTCTCCGTTCCCCACCACCACAAGCTTAGGTCCATTGCTTTAGTTCCTGAAGAAACATGTTTCTTTCTGTCATAGTACTTGCTGCTCAGCTCAGTGGGATTGAGCCCCAATTACCCACAACAGTAACCTGCTCCCTATACTGGCTTCCTGTGTGACTGTCTTGTTTAGAGCCACAGTCTCTATGAGACTGACAGCTCCATGGTGACAGGACTGTGATCATTTGGGCTCACCAAGGCACATCCACCCCCAGCACAGTGTTGGCCATAACTGCACCCATGTAGTATCTGCAGAATGAATGAATATTCCTAACTAGCCTGTAGCCCTAGGGACACAGTCCTCTCTGGTCCATTTCCTCAGCTATCAAATGAGAAAATTGGTGAGGAGCAGTCTTTTTTTGGGCACAAGACCAATTCAGAACAAATATTCCGAAACTGCGTGTGTAATTCAAAATGAAAACAACTTTAATGAATCTTACAGAAAATATAATATATGTTCCTTCCACTAAGATTATCCACTTTCTCAAATAAAAGAATTTCAATGAGAAAATTGGTGCTGCCTTTTAGCCATTAAATGATCCCATCTGGGCATTCTGAAAAGCAGCAACAAGAATAAGAGGCAGCTTTCTTTCACCCCTTAAGATTCAGAGGGTGTTAGAATCACAAAGCCCATTCACATCTGTTATCTCATTTCATCTTCTATGTAGGTGATGTATTTGTAGATGATGAAAGTGTGGCTCAGAGAGGTAAAGTGACTTGCCCCAAATCACACAGCAAGCTGATGAGAGAATACACTTTACTTAATTAACTCAATCTAATGAAGTAATTTCTGGGCGCTTACCCATCTGTCCTGTGTGTGGCACTATGCCGGGTGCTGGGACAATAGCGACAGTAAGACACAGCTTCCTGCTCCTTCCCAGTTTGAAGTCCTCCTCTTGGTTGTAGGATCTTCTCTCTGGAAAGAGCAAAGAGAACCAATCAACCCAGGTTTCTTGGTCTGAGTTCCCCAGCGGCAGAGTCAGAGACAATGATGTCAGGACAGTTGATTTGGGAGGTCACCCCAAAAAGTACCTATAGGGAAGAAAGAAAATAAAGAAAAGGAAGCCAATACAGGGGGCAGATTACTGCTGTGGGTAACTGGGGCTCAATCCCACTGGGAATGTCTCAGAGACTGTGCAGAACACATTTCAGAGTTGGCTATTTATTACTGTTTGGGAGCTACTCCTCAGGGTAATTCCCTGCCACTTCTGTCCTGCGAGAGGGCACACGCGTGCTCCAGTAACCAGAGAAAGCCCTCAGCCAGCACGCACAGGAGCTTTTCCAAAGGAGCCATCATTTCCTTTGGAAATAGAATTCAAAAGGGCACCCTAGGAGGACATAGGAGGGTTTCAGATGTAACTGCTGGGTCAGGACAGTGCGAACCCCCCGGAATCCTGGAGGGCCCCGCTGTGGGTGCCGCTACTGTATGCTGCTCAGTCCCCGCTGCTGCGGCAATGGGTCTAGGCACCAGCCCTGGTGGACTGAGCCTCTCAGCCTGGCTTCTGAGGGACCCCATCACCAGCCTCATTTTTAGGCAGCATTAGCAAGTCTGCATCAAACCAATTCAAAAAGCCTCCTTCCTGCCTCTGAGCTGGTTGCCCTGGGGGCTTTTCTCTCAAATCCTGCTATTCCTTGGGGACCGAAGGGCTGTTGAGGTGTTTGGGGGAAATAAAACTGCCATGGGTCTTCGGCAGCGTTGAGGCGATCCCTGTGAGAGAAACCTTGCATGACGCCCGGTGCCCATTCTCTCCTTGTTTTTAGCATCGCTCAAGTTTCAGCAGAGCTCGTAGCTTCCCTGAAACAGACTACATTTCCAAGGTGCCCCGGCAATGTGACTGAGTTCTGGCCAATGGGATGTGAGTGAAAGTGCGTGCAGAAGCAACCTCCAGGGCATATCCTTAAAAAAAGAAAAAGGAGAATACTCTTTACTCTTTCCTGACCTCCCACCAGCTGGAGATTGGCCACCCCTGGAGCAGCCCTCATGCAGCCTGCAGTGGAACGCCTGTGCTCACAGTGGCAGAGCAGCACCCCCAGTGTGGGGTGACTGCCCACCTGCCTCTGGCTTATCGCAAAAGAGAGTGGTAAACTCCCCAGTATGTCAGCCACCGTCTGAGTCACTATTACAGCAGCTTGACCTGTTTTCTAACTCAGCTGTCCTAAAGGACCCTACCCACGCTAAAGGCAGCTATACCCCAGGTGGGACCACTTCACCCAGACTCACCCCGCCCCCACCTCCCGAAGCAAGCCCAGCAGGTCCTAATGCCATTGCTTCAATTCCCAGTGTGTTCTTGATTTACCCTTCCCCTAGCCCCCAACACCCCAGAGGGTGGCGCACCTTTGCCCTGTGAAGATCCTGATTCTGGGCTCCTGGAAACCTATCATCCGATCATCTTCAGGGCCTTTCAGTGAGCAGAAACCAGAGATGGCTGGGCTGGTGTGCTGTGGTGTGGCCAGGAAGGCAAAGGAGGTTGGAGGGCAGGGAGAGCAAAGCGCTCCTCCATGGCACCCCTGCATGGAAAAGGGATGAGTTTGCAGCAAGAGGGATAGAGGAAAGCTGAGCAGACCTAAACAGAGATCTCTTAAGAGTGGGGATCAGGTAAGCGCAGTTGGATCTACCTGGATTTAGAGTGCTCCTCCCTGAGCACTATGCCGGGTGCTGGGACTCAGTCTGCCCACACAGCCTTATGTCTCAAGAGAGGGGACAGAATTAGGTGGCCTCCAAATGGCTTTTGCTCCAAAGTTCTGGAATATACCAAGTAAGAATGGGTGAAGATGCCACAGGTCGGGGAGCTGCTGAAGAGCAGGAATCATGTCTACTCCCCCTCTACCCCCACATTTAGCATCACACTAGAATCTAGAGGGTCTCCAAAAATACTTTCTGAACAAATCCATAAATGAATGAGTGAAAAACATCCTTTAGAGAGGTTCTGATAGTCCACATGCAACACTTGTTTTCTGTTCCATCTTTTTGGAAGATTCCACAGCAAAATGGAGACACTGGGCCTTGCCTGTCTCTCTCCCCAGACCTGTGGGCTCCTCTCTGTTAGGGCACTTAGAACAGCTTACAGAGAAAATCATTACCTATCTGTCTCCCAAATAAGGCTGGTTGTCCTGAACAAAAAAAAAACTGTCTTATTTTTTTAGGGGAATCCCTCAGTATTATGGCTACTTGATACAGAAGTAAAATCTGAATTCAATAAATACTTGTTAAATGCACAAATAGGTAAATCAGTCAACTCAGTTGCCCGTTGAAAACTGACACTATCAAACATATCTCCCAATCAGAAAGTCATTGAGCTTGAGAACACCATCTCTAAAGCAGAATAGACTCTCCCCTCTTATAGGAAGTCCCAAGACAGCCTGGCTTTCTCTTCCCTCAGACTGGGGCTCCCTGAGGATGAAGCTGTGTCTTCTCCCAACAGACTGGGGCTCCCTGAGGACAGGGCTGTGTCTCCCTCAGACTGGGGCTCCCTGAGGATGGAGCTGTGTCTCCCCCATCAGACTGGGGCTCCATGAGGACGGGGCTGTGTCTCCCCTCAGGCTGAGGCTCCGTGAGGACGGGGCTGCGTCTCCCCTCAGGCTGAGACTCCCTGAGGACGGGGCTCTGCTGGCTCCCAACCCGAACTGAGTGCCCTCCTGCGCAGCCTCACATCTCTAAGGTCCTTCCTCATCATAAGCTTCTTCTGTTGATGAGCTTTAGAAATGCCCTACCCATGTCATGCTCATCAGCATTTTTAATGTTTCAATTTATCAAATGTGTTGAGGATTCATAAACGCAGGGAGGAAAAAATGAGAAAGAAAAAAATAAAACAAGGAAATAAAGGCCAAGTTGTGGCTAAGTTCATTCCAGCAGGCAGCCCTCAGCCTCGAGGGAAAACTCTAACGCATGCACAAATACCTCATGAATAATTATTTCTGAGTGGCTCAATATTTTAAATGCTGGATATTTTTTCCCTCCTCAGAAGCACGCTGCAACTATTTATTGCAATGCAGAAGCCAGATGGAAGGTGATTAAGTTTGATTTCCGAGGGATGAGCAGATAGGAAAATAGGGTGGAGGTTGTGAGTAGACGTGGGTGGGTTTCACAGGGCAGCAGGCAGATGAGGCCCCTAGGCCAGCATCTTATGGCAGAAAAGAAAGGTGACCGTCCAGCAAAGAAGGCTGTGTGGGTCGCATATCTTCTTCCCCTAAGGAGCTTCGAGTTCAGTGCTTCTGTCCTCCCCAGCTGTGATATCTACAGGCAAGTAGCTGTGATGTGGGAAGGCTATGAAGTCAGCTGTTTAACCCATGGTTAATGTCAGGGCTCTGAGGAGACTAAACACAGAAGATCTTTAGGTCTATGGGATGAGACAGCTGTCCTCTCACCAAATCAGGGGTGAAAGTACCCCAACTTCTCCTTTAGGGGGTGGTTCATTTATCTTCCCAATAGTCCATGGGCTGGTGGTTCATGCATTGGCTAATTCATACGAAGATCCTAACCAGTTATTTGGTACTTTCTTCTTGGTTTATTTTACGCTGTGACCACCCTGAGAAACTGGAAGGACAGGTGCTGTGATTCCCATTTCATGCTTAAGGGGATGGAGGCTCAGGGCAGCAAGTGACTGGTCCACAGTCTTCCATTCTCTGAAAGATGAGGCACATATAAAGGCCACCGGTGTCTGGACTCCTGTTACACTGTCACTGGCCTGGCTGTTAGGTACCTCCACAGTGAGACGCTTTAGTGAGGAGACACAGAGCATGTGAAATTGGATAGCACACCCGTCCTACAGGTGCACATAGGCACCATCACCTCAGCCACCCGCCTCCACCTACTCTGCTCCTCTCCTCCCAGTGCCATCTTTTATGTGCACTTCCCCTGGGTCCTTGGTTCTATTAGCCTCACTCTGGCCCGTATGGCAGCCTGAGCATGGTTGCTGCAGGGATGAACATCTGGGCTCCTCAATGAACGGCTTGGGGCCAGATGTCATGTCTTAGGCTTCTCATATATATTCTTCACAGGGCCTAGAGCAATGCTGGGCACAGGGCAGAGTGAAATGGAATGGCAGCTCTCGTCATCATGTCAATGGCTAACATTTACAGAGCACTCATTTTGTTCCAGGCACTGCTGGAAAAGGTTTACGTATATTAACTCATTTTATCCTCCCAGCAACCCCATTAGATGGGCGTCATTATCCCCATTCTCATTGTACACATAGGGGTGCAGAGGCGTGGAGAGATTTAGTACATTTTCCATATAGCAAGTAAGTGACCAAGGCCAGATTTAAGCCCAGGCCACTTGGCTTTGTGGCCCTCACTCCTAAACACAACACTATACTGCCTTTCAGCATGAGACCCCTACCTGTGTGTTTATCTCTGCAATGGCCCATTGATTCATTCATTCATCCTTAAATTTGCTACCATTTACCAAGAACCTGCCGAGCCCAGGGCACTGTGCTCATACTCTACATGCACCTCTCACTCTTACATCCACATTGCAGAGTTAACTTTGTGTGATATCCATTTTATGGTTGAGAGAGGTGAAGTTGCTTTCCCAGTGTTGCATGGCAGGTGAGCAGGAAGGCTGGGATTTCCACCCAGGTCTGGTCTGGAAGTGTCCAAAGCCTGAGCTGTTTCCCCCGAGTTACATTGCATCCACCTTCCTTCACCAAACTTGGTTCAACCTAGAACCCAGCATGGAAGGAGGTGCCAGCAGGTGGAGACCAAGGCCTCTGGAGCCACTGGAAATGGAAATGGTGATAATGAAGATGAATCTGGGCACACCACCATGGCCTCTGCTGCTCCCTACCATATGGCCACTCTAAGCTGACCCCCAGTGATGGCCATTTTCCAGCACATATGGGAATCAAACAAGATAATATATGTGGCAAGGTCACAGATGTACTCACAGCACACTCAGATGTGCAGAGAAGGCACTTT